CAAAGACAAACTGATTCAGGGCCAACAAAGCAACCTCTCTGCCCAAAACAACAGAGCAGGAACAAAGGTGGAAGTGAAGACATACAATTATTGCTAAGCAGTGACACAATTACTGACTAAATGCATGGAAGGCATATTACACTGATCACGTCTGTTTAGTTTTTTAGTGTATGCTGTGCCATATGTTTTCATTTAAGTTAAAAAACCAAAAAATTGCAGCAACTCTCCCGTCCTCATTACACAGAGAGATTGCCAGATACTAGCTACTCCTTCTGAAAGCCTTTTATATTCTTCAAACCACATGTACTGAGAAATGCTATTAATAGTCAGGTATTTCTTCAGTCTTGTTTGTTGCCCTTCTCCAAATAACTCTTTCCTTTTGCTTTAGCTACAGAGGTAAATTTGGGGAGGAGGCCCTCTGGGATTAATAATCTTACTAACACTATAAACAATTTTTCCATTGCTTCTTCATTGACAAATTTAACCCTGAGAGCAGTGCACATGCTAGAGAATCTCTGCAACTACGTGGACAGCATGGGCATATTCATACCTCCATAATTAGAGCCCTGCTAGAAGCACTGCTAGAAAAAGGTGCAAATCCAAAAGACGAAATTTCAATTTAGATTCAAAAAAAACTCCATGTGACTTGTTCAAGAGCCCAAGATTGCTGCAGTCTCCCTGCTCTTGACTGAAAAAAGTTGCAACAACAGACTTGGTGGGTGCTGGGAAAGAATTCCTACAAGCAAATTATACTCTTACAAATGGTGAAATATGGGAGGCACTCCAACATGCAAGTTAATGCCAAAACAATAGCCTGGAACACAGGAGGGTGCTCAGCAGCTGGAGCTGTCCCCCACAGGAACCCTTGACATTTGGAGCTTTTAGAGTTCCAACATCTTGTTGCAGTTTGATCTTCTTGACAACTATGAGAGTTGACCAATTTCATCATGTTCCTCACTTTGGCTATAAACACACCAGCAAACAAACCACACCAGCAAACAAACTGGCAGCAGGGCATGGTCCTGCACAGTCCTCCTCGAGTCCACACTAACAAAGTGTTAGCACAGTCCCAGATGTGCTCACCAGGGCCAACAAACATCCTCCTCTACAATTCTCACGCATTCACAGGCTAATACAGGCCAGTGACCTTTCTTGATAGGAAGCCTGGACATAGCCACTCTATTTTTGTGGGGGGCAGGGAGTTAATCTGTTTGAACAATGAGCTCAACAGCGTTCACGACCACAGGACAACCACTTTATTTATTAATAGAGATGGAGTCATCGTTTCCAAGCACTTGGAGTGGCCCATCCCGTTTCCAGACTCTGTCAAATCCCACAGTAGGGGACAACAAGTTTGATGTGGCAGACAATCTCAGTTTCTAAAAGCAAGTGCAGTCAAACATGACATTGGCCGGTTTGTCAACATGGGCATTCCTCATTTAAAAAATCTTGATCCAGATTCTGAAATATAATCTCATGGGTTCACAGCCAGCTGCAGAAGTCACTGGGCAAAAGCTAGAGCCACTGTTACATGAATGGCCAAACTAGGTACTGGTAGTAACCATTTAAGGTGCCCAAACATAATCACACCTCTTCATACCTATTATTTCCCCTATCCTCTGCACACGGAGGAAACAGAGTTTCCACAAGGGCTACAGACACCTATGATGAATGCAACAACATCTTCAAACTGCTGGATCAGCTCCAACATACCTGACAGCTCTCACCTCTGCTTTTGTCCCAGGTTCCTGGGCATTGTGATCAAGTAATTAGAACCAATCCTTGGTCCAGATCTTTGGCGAGTCAACAACAACAACAAGTATTAAAACTCTACCCATTTAAGAGAGGTTAAGAAAAAGGTACAACAGCTGCTCTTCAGTTCCTCTTCATCTATTTCTAATAACTAGTTGAGGACTCTCAGAACCACTGTTCAAAGAGAGTTTAATCAAGACCTCATAACACACACCTCATCTCAGGAAGCAGCAGGGTAGCCACCTGCTTATTCTGTGCCTCTTTCACAGAATGCAAGTAATCACTAAGGCTGTTAACTGACAATAGCAGCAGTTTCCCATCTGACACAGGATGTGCAGTATTCCTACTGCAATAGCCCATTTCACAACCAGCAGCATCCAGGGAAAGTCTAAAAACTTTCATATTCAGGACCCTATTCACCTTGAGGGCTTCTACACACAAATGCTCTTGCCAAGAATGGAGCACTCTGTCCATAAAACCTCCTTGCCTGGGCTGATGGCCAAATCAGAAAATAACCACTGGAGTGAAGGAGCAAGAAATCTTTCACAAAGAAGCACTGTTAAACTTTCTATGTTGTACTGAGTACTTTTAAGCATCTGGAGATAGGAGAGCTGTCTTTACAATCAGATTCTCATCAAAGAAAATGAAAATCTCTGATGGACTGTGTCAAAATGATCAGCATACTGCCTTCTCTTTGATATGATAACCTTTAAAGAGCGGTAGTCCTGCCCTGAAAATTTCTGAGCCATTTCTACTCTTTTACATGTAATTTATAGAGACGTGTTATTCCAGATTAGTGCAGCCCAGTAGACAATACTCCTCAAAAGCTGCTTTCCCCTAAATATTGCAAGACTCATTCTAGCAATCTCGGAACTGTCCTTTCTTGAACCAGTAAACACAAAGTGATGGATAAAAAAGGACTTAATTCAGCTTTTTTTCAGAGACAAAGCAAAGCAAAACTTAGGTAAGAATAGAAACTTTAACAAAAGAAAGTAGAAATGGTGGATTAGCTTCCAAGCTACCAATAATCCCTTGGTTTCATAACTGTAGCATTTTCAAGCTACCACAGATTAGTTTCTAGAAGTTCCTTGGAACATACAGCATCACTGAAAGTGAGCTCATCCTGTAGCTGTATTTCAAACACAAAAAAACCAAAAAGACCCAAACAAGAAGACATTTTGCACTTGGAACGGATCACAGTGACTTAAGAACAGCAGGTGATATTCACCACAGTTCTCAGCAAGGTCTTCCCATTGCCATCTCAGCTGCAGTCGGTGTCTACAAACACCAACCACCTTTCCCAGTGTGGTGCACATCGGAAATCCCAGCTGAGAGTGTCATGGGGCTGCCTAACACACAGAGCAGAGCTCCTGCCCCGTCTGTTTCAACGCAGCCACATCTCTCTACACTTGCTCAGTCACCCTGACTACTCCTTTTCCCATGCACATCCCAGTTTGACAGCCTTCACCTTGCACCAGAACGTGACTGAGCTCCACGCTGCCTGCCTGGATCATTTGTTTGGATATCATTAGATGGCCCTGACTGAAAGCCCTAATGAGGTGCTGATTCCATCATCCAATCAGTTGTCTGAGCCCAAATGCATCCCATGGGACAGCCAGAAAAGACTGAAGCAAGAATTCCAAGTGATGTGTAACATGAAAGGGCGCCATTCGCATCGCTAGGACTCACAGCCTGTCAGCAGGGCCATTAGAAATCCGGGGCTACACAGATTTATAATTCAACCCTCCCACACACAGAACTTGCTCCAGACTGAAACTTGGCACAAAATTCAGTCCCAGGAGGGTGTTAAAAAAATAACCTATTCAACGGTTTCCGTCCCATGGCTTCAGCTCACAGCCATTTAAATAATGGCAATTTCTCATTTCTCTTTTTAACTGAGGAAATCCAATATAAAACACCAGATTTACATAACATTGCAGTGGTGATACAAGCTGGCAACAAACCCAGAGAGAAGGCTGCCAGAGCCATTCTGTCATTCTCTTTTGGTGAATTTCTCTACTTGGATTCAGTTTAATGGAATAATTTTTATTAGGTCTAGCTGACATCACACGTAACCTGTAAATCCCACCTCCACACTGGTCAGGCATCTTGCCCTAGCTTTGTATACCTTGTGAGCTAGTTAGAAGGGGACAAGCCCTGCTGTGGTCACAGCAGCCTCCCACTTGTGCTGCCACTGTTAGTTCTGTGCTGCAAATCCTGCTGGCTGATTTAGAGGACAGTAATTAGCTTCCTATTGAACTGCAAAAGACTGACTGGACAAGGAATGGACAAAACAAAGAAGGGAACTGATGCAAGCCAAAAGCAATTTGTCAGCAGAGCCTTTGATTTGACCAGAGATTGTTCCATAACTACCACACCTGCTTCCAGGGAGAGACACAGAGCCAAGCTCTCTGTGGTTGCAGTTTTTACTCCACCAGGTATTTAAATTCCTACAGGATTATCTGTAATCTTGAGTTTGTCAGTGAAAAAAAAAAATTCCAAGTTGATGCAATGCCACAAAAACTTATTAAGTACACAGGACCTCAGATAGTCTGCAGTAAATCACTGCAGTGAGCACAAGCCTTCTGCTCCAGCACCACTTGGACAGAGGCTGTGATTGCACATGTGGGACAAGTATGAGCTTGGCACCCCAAAACAGATCATCTTCTGAGTGGGCTACTGGCTCCCATCTCATCCACCAGCCACAACTCCTGCTTTCCACAGCACACCTGAGACACAGCCCCTTCTGCCTCGCTCTAGCTGGGGGATAGGGCATATTAAAATTATCATCAAAGCATCTGAACATACTTTTTTTACTTGTTATATAAGTACATAAGTAGACCAACTATAAAATTCTATGATAAGAAAATGAAGATTTGTATCAGTGGTCAAGCCCAAGGCACTTCAAACCAGTTTGAACCCTCTGCTGCTGTCAGCAAAGCTGCTACAAGGTCTTCTGGCAGCCAATGCCAAAATGCTTCTTTCTAGAATGTGGCCATTGGTCTAAATTGCCATTGTTGCACTGACTCTCCACATATACTAAACCATCTTCCCTAAGGCCAGCCTCCAAGGTCTATGGTCCAGCTGTAAAAACCCTTCTGCATTTCTCAGAACTACATATACAATAATTCTCTCAAACAGGAAATAAACTGAGCCCAAAGGACCACCTGAGTTTTCAAAACAGAAAAGAAAATGGGGCAAACATGTGCAGACCACCTTCTGCTCCAACAGCTGCAGTTTTCTCATACCTTGTCCTTTAATTCCAAAGGGGGGTACAAAGTCCCTGATACGTGCCCATTTCCTGAAGGAATCGTCCAAGAACATTGGTGCCGGCTTCGAGAACCTGAGAAAACCAAAATGAGAAAGAAATTAACTCCTGAACTAGGAAGGATAAACCTCTGCAGGAATGTTGAGAGAATCCATACCTAAATGGTGATTCTACATTGTCACCGGCAACAGAGTAGTGTAGAAGATTTTACTTTTACCCAAAGGTGAAACAAACGTGCCAGAATTTGTGTCACCACTCAAATCACTCAAGTCATGGACCTAGCAATCACTTCCACTCAAGAATTTAAAACTTCCCCAGTACTGTTTGGCTATTAATTTAGCTACAAGAAAGTGTAAATTGCAAGCAGGGTTTAGGCAGTTTGACTTCCAGCTTTGTGAGCCCAAGCCAGTTTCTGTGCTGTCTGTGTGAGTGTGTGAGGAGTCTGCTTTGGCCTCACTTGTGCACACACACAGCAGCTATCACCACACAGGCAAGAAAACAGTTCAGGAGATCATGAAGCAGTTTGTAGCTTACAGAGAAAGGAAATGGAAATTCAGTGCCTTCTTCAGCATTCATTAACATATAAATGATTCAAGAGAGGTTCCTGCCAAACCAAACAGTTACAATCTATCCAGAATCCCTTACAAAAAAGAGACCTAGTCCTTCTTAACCATGTCATTATGGAAATACATTATCCTAATTATACCCTCAACACACAAACACAGCAGCTAGTAAAAATTTATCTGTTCTAGAAACAATTACTACAGTGGCCAGAGAAAAGGAAACAATTAGCAAATATAGAAACATTAACTTCCATATGGGACCATTTCTGAGTGTATCAAGTATACTAGAAAGTATGTTAATACCATTAGAAATCTGTTCATTCAATCATATCAAAACAGTAGCAGAGATGCTCTGGATCAAAGTCAATCCCACCAAGAAAAGGAAAGTTCTACATGTTCAGAGTCAGAGAAAACACCTCCACCACAGAGTAAGGTACATGCCCCTGAAATAGATCCAGCTTGGCCAACCTACACATGGGACAGGACAGGTGTAAGCCATGGGTTTAGCTCTCCCTTCAGGCTGTTTCTGAACTCAGCATGCAACTCTTATTGCAGTCAGACAACCCTTTAACTAACTAATTTAGGATAAACTCACCCACACTATGCCACATCCAGGTACAAAGCAACAATTTCAAAGAGCAGCACAGTAAGGAAAGGATGGAATGAAATCTAAATTATCAACTGGTCAAAGTGAAGTCCTATCATAGATGCCCAGTAAATCACAAATGCAGAAATCTATGGAAAGGGGAAAGAGATCAGGAGAATTTAACAAAACAAGAAGTCTCAGATTCACCCATGCATACTGCTTCACATCCACTCATGCAATCTTTAATAAGATCATCTATAACCATAAAAGCAAGATGCACAGATGACATGGCTGATCTAGAAGGAAAGGAATGTTTTTTCCAGAGCTGAGAATACAAAACATATAACTTTGTCTGGGAAAAGGTGGAGGAGGTATGTTAGATATATTAGAGCTTCTGAAGCTTTTAAGTAAAAGCACCCCACAGGCCAATTTAAAAACAAATAAAGAGCAATATAGCATTAACTGTAACACATTTACCCTGAAAATATCCTAAAAACTTCAATAACCTGACAAATTAGTTCAATGTTTTCTCGCACATCTTGGTGCACCAAAATATAATAATTATGATTCCTGAGGTGTCTCCAAGGACTTACCTCCACCCCCTTCCGACATCAACAGGAGGAATCTTTGCAGGTTGGTCATGCAATGCAAGAGCTTTTATAAACTACAGGGATGCTCATAGCCCTTCCTCCACAGCCACCCCCTGAAATCTCAGCAGAAGCCAGGTCCCACAGAATGGTCCCTGCTCTCCTCATGCACCAGCCTAACTCAGAAGCAGTGTTATTTATACATGCAAATAACGCTCTGTTTGCAAGTGACACATCTGGAAAAGCCAATTTACAGTAGTCTGATGGGGAGCAAGGAATGCCTCTCCCTAATGCAGATTTCCATTTACAAAAGGTGCCTGGTAAAACCAGGAGGGAAGTCAGATCCTCCTAAGACTCCCTGGACCCCAGGGGAGTCCCCAGAATCAGCTGAAGCTGAAGGCAGGACTGATCTAATGCTCTGTGGTATTGCTTCTGCATGTGAAAACCAGGGCACCAAAGTGATGCCAAAGAAGGGGTGAAATGATCATTGGCCTTTTTTTTGCATTTGCTACAAGTAAATGTAGGGATTTTTCTAGCAAAGAACATGACAGCCTTAGACTAGCTACCATTATTTGGTAATATTTAATACTCCTGTATACAGGGGCAGAGAAATGGACTTTTAATTCATACTTTTGCTTCGTTTAAGGAGGAAGAACAGTTTTAGGGAAATATTATATCCATATGGGAAAAAGGGAGCAAGTTAGAAGATATTTTGCTCCCATAAATCTTGAAAGTAATTCCGTTTGGGAAATATTAAGAAATTATGAATACTGTAAGCTCATGCGCTTTGCCACCTCAATAAATCAGAGCTAGCCAGAGCTGATGTCCAGCAGTGACAGGGAAATGCTGTCTGCCAGACTCTCCAGGAGCATGGCTGTTCTGTCTCAGCTCTGAACTGCATCTGGCGTACTCCAGGACCCTTCAGGAAATATTGGGATTTGTCTCAAACAGGCCATGGGAATGCTCTCTGCAGAGCACCTAAAATACATTCCAAGGAATGCATGGGAGTCTGTCAAACAGAAAAGGCAAATGTTTCTGAATGATGTTAAAGCTCTGCATGTACTGAGCAACTGGGCACGGGATGCTGCATTTTGCCTGTCACAGCTGCCTAAAGGCAGGCTGGCCTCACCGGCAACCACAGCTCCAGACCCAAAACAGGTTTGTGCTCCTTCAGAAAACAGCACAGAAAGTAAAAGTTTTGATTTTTCAGTTCTAAATTTTAAGCACTTCCTCTCTATTCCACCCCAAATTCCAGAACAGACATATTGCAATCTCATTGCACCTGACACCCTGAAAAGCTGAGGAATTTGGCTGCTTGTGGCACACACTTATGACCTGTGTAATTTGAGAGAGAAATGTCAAGCGTCTACAATCTCTAGTTTGAATGGCATACCCTGCTAAAACACAAATGACATCTAAATGGACTAAATGCTTGACATGATAATTGTGAGGTACAAAACAAATCTCTCCCAGTTCTCAAGTTTGAATTCCTCATGCAAAGCAATAATAAAATCTCTAACAATTTGTCACCACGCACAGCAAAAGGAAGCGAACGTTCTGCCAGAAACTGTTCTTAAACAGAAATCTATAATCACACAAAAATGTGATATATATTTGTGCCTAAAGGACTCTGGCTTTTGTGACAAAACATTACATTTCCAGTTCTTTCCTCCCTGACAAGAAGAGTTGTGACCCCAAAGCATTTCTGAAGGCAGAGCTAGCTTGCCAGAAGCTCCCCAGCCAAGTTTTTCAGCCATTCCATTTTGTCCCTGACACTGAGACCACTTCACAGCTGCTCCTCTTTGATGAGCACAGAAGTACTCAGCATAAGCAGCACTAACCTCCCAAAGTACCCTGCAGTCACTAGGCAAGGTAACTATGGGACAATTTTAGACATCAAATCTTGACCAGAATCTGCTCCCTACTCCTTACCTGCTGCTTTCCGGGCAATTAATACATAAATGTGTAGAAGATAAAAAGCTACATCTCAGAGAAAGAAAAAGAAATAAACTGATTTATGTGTCTTTGGCTTTAACAAGGAGGGATGAAGAAAAGGTCAAGTTCCTGAATGAGTCAAGGAGAAGACAGCATCACATTTCTAAGGAACCACGACACCAAGGAAAGGCAGACTGGCAGCCACCAAGCTCCACTGTGAGCTTATATTTCAGATATTCCCTTTTTTAAAAACATCCTCCTTTAAGTTGACCTGTGCTTTTGTTTATTCTTTAATTAATAATCAGTAGTGCTGGAAAACTGAAAGTTGAAAGAAAAAAAAAGCCCAAACAGTGCTAGAACCTAATGCTGTGCAGAACCTGCACACTGCATTTGTACAGGGGCAGGAACAGCTTCTCTCTCTTTTTCTAAACCACACATAAATTATTTATTTACCCTGGCATGACTTTTATCTTCTGTTTGCCGATGATCAAAAGCATCCATGGTTAGACAGAAGGCACAAAGTCTACCAATGTTATTAATTAAATACACACTGAAGCCCTTGGGTGCTGAATCATTAGCCCTGACACAGGCATTTATGGAGAGAGAGAGAATCTAAACTAACCTTTTCCTTTTTCCTTACTGAGACCTAGAAGTATGCTGTCTCCCTTGCCTCCCTTCTCTGGGGAGCCACATGGTGTGACAGCATAGGAATGAGGAGGTTTGTGACATCCTGATTTTACATTTCTTATTGACATTAATCCTCTGTCAAAAATCCCAGTAGCTCAAAGATTCCTCAAGGAGCTGAAAAATTTAAGAAACTGCATTAATAAGGATTAACCCCATCCTACAACCAGTTTTCCTATATCAGCAAACAACCCTCCCCCCCAAAAAAGATGGCCGCAAGAAGAATTTCTTTAACAGCAGAAATCGCGTCAAAAATTAAGTTGATCTTAACAAACTGCAGAAGTCTAAAATAAAAGAATATGGCAGAGAGAATGTAGCACTGAGGAATGGCTGGTCAGAGCACCCTGCCAGTGCCATTTGAGACCACCTAACTCTTTACAAGAGAGTGCGTGCCACAGATCCCCACCCATCTTCTCCCCTGCCCTCTGTCCTTACAGACCCTTGTGTGTATCTGCAGCTGCCTCTTTCAGACTGCAAAGGTCTCAGCTACGTGGCCACTCCCCACTCTGACACCACTGAATGACACAGCAGAACAGTGCTCTGCAGTAAATGTCACCACCACTCCAAAAAGATGACTTTGAACAGGCTTTATTCCATAAGCAAAGGAAAGGGCAGGTAAAATCAACTGAACCCAAACACCACAGACCATGTAGCAGTTAGCCCTGCCTACTCCCCAGTGAGTGATTGCTCTGTACCTTTGAGGCACTCTGGAAGATCTTC